TTTTTTTTTTTTTTTTTTTTTTTTTTTTTTGGAAAAAGTATCTCAAACAGTTCTAAGCGATTTCTCTCGTGCACTACAGCTCATTTCACTTATGGCAAAGGATTGCATGTTCAGAATGGATCAAGAGAAACGAAAACCTAAGAAAGCTGTCAGTGTCTTTCGTAGCCAAAAGAACTTCGTAAATGATTTGAAAACGTTCATTATTTTTAGGCCAAATTTCACCTAAGCATAGGAGACTCATCAATTATTAATTGGCTAATAACATCTTATTTTACTACAGAGTTCTAATGGGTTACCGTTTTTCTTTGATTTGTTAGTTTTCATAAATAATTTTCTCTTGCAGTCGACTTAATAAGATTGAGATATTGGCTCACTGTCTTAGAGTATTCACCGTAACTAATTTTGTTATGCCTCATTCTTCATTCTAAAGTACATTAAAAATTATCTGTTATTTTAAAATTTTCTGCTGACTTTTAAGAATGTTTTTGTCGCCTGCACTGCATCGTTTAAACTATTAGTGTAATTTTTGAAATGATTAGTAGAACAACTGATACTTTACACACAGTGGTGTTTGAGAATAGAATTTCCTAATCAGTCCAGTTTCAAAGTTAAGCCTGCTTAGCTGAGAAGGGAAACTGCTTAAATGTGTAGCCTAATGTGTAACCGTGTTAAATTTTCGGAAACTGCCCTTTGTTGCTGCTGGCGACTAAGGAGTCATCTTTCAATAATGTTTTCTTTTATTATCCCATTGAACTTGATTACTGTCTTCCTATCGCCAAATAGATGAATAAATAATTTTACATACATTTGATTTTGTCTCCGCTTTTTACTTTTTTTTATTAATACCGGAGCATCAAACAATTTATGAAGGTATTTCTTCTGGTCCCTCTATAAACTTTTAACAATGGCCAAGTTTGATTTTAAGTAAAACAGTTCGCAACGGTAATGATCTGTTCTTCCTGAGTATTTTGTAATTATGGTAGGAAGTTTATACAGAAACCAAATTTTTGGTAAACTGCTGTCAAAAATGACACCAGTCTTTGCGTAATGTTCATTGAGAATTCTTGTTCAAATGACTGCAAAGTTTTTTTGGAGATGACAAATGGTTTAACAAATATAACTGACTGCTAGAAAACTGCGAAACTTGAGATTTCAAATAGGAAACAATAGCAATTGGTTGCCATGAAAGCGAAAATCAAGCCACTTCGTAACCGATCTTCCTATTATAATTGTCAATTCAGCATTTTTGGTAGAAAGCTGAGGTAACGCGCAACGTTTCCATATAGCAGTTTAAGAATATGAGCCAATTTACGACACTGTTGAGCCATTGGTGAAAAAAGAATTTTTTTGACGGTTCTGCTCTAAATCTTTTTTTCACGACAAATCTTACCATACATGATTTCGTCTTTGATTTGAAATCTAGAAACTTTTTTTGTCATTTGATTTATAATCACACTATAGTCTAAGATTCTTGTCAATCTAACTCACGTCGCTAACCGTTGAATAGAAGGAGCCTTGTTGGCTCAGCTAGTAAGCTTCAGACTGTTTTTTAGATTATGTGAATATAAGAAAATTCAAAATTAATGACAGAAAAAAGTGTTAAATTAGAAAGCAAGCTGAAGACTTTTTTGAGATATGATTACATACTACTGGTGTTCTTAAATTAGGAATTAAAAAAGTTTTAAGTCTGTTCGTCTTGTTTCGAAATGTAGGTTTGGATGAGAAAATCAACAATTTGTTATTAGGGAAGAAAATTACATTTTGGGCAAATATAATTAGGTTTTATATGCTAATAAGGAGATTTTTGTGCATCTGGGGTCCAGAATTTTTGAAAAGTGCTCATTTTCTTCCAAAATTATCTTAGTCTCGTGATAATGGCTGTCATAATTTAGCGATTATTTTTTACAGTAGACGCTGAAGAAGTCGTCACCGATAAATATGATTTAAACTAATTGGTGTTTTTAACCGTAAAAAGTCACATTACATTCCGTTGCATAGTTGTTAAAGAAGAATATGAAATTTTATAACTTTTGAGCAACGATCAGTCTCAAAATAAAAACAATTCCAATATTGTTTTCATTTTGCTTTTAACAAATCATTAATGAATTTTTGAAGATTCTAATCAACTGCAAAAATTTTTATAAAGAAAAGTGGTAAAATTCTATAGCAGAAACTAAATGGAAAGCCTCATCTGATTAATCTGTTTCGGATAAGTACATTATGACTACAGGATGAAATAGTTATTCCTTAAATTTGTCTCAAATTTTGCAATTTATTTTCTCTCAATTAAATCACGCGTGAATTAATAATGCTGTTTACTCAATAATTCCTTCAGTTTTTCTCATTATTCCTTCTTATCTTTCTTGTTAATCTGTTGCTACATCTAAGTGCAAACAAAAGTGTAACTGTTGCTTTTTTGTTGCACCAATTTTTTTCCTCCATCTCGTTAAACGGATACACATATTTTTTGGTACCTATTTTTTCAAATGAATATGTAACAAAAACACATAGATCGGATGATAACAAGTGGATTTTTAAATTATGTTACTCATTGTTTTCAATTTTTTCAAAAAGTATTCTTAAAATAATTATTACATCGTTATTAAAAGTAAAACAAAAATTGGATACTTACTAATTTGGCGACATTAAGTAACGAAATTCTCATGTCAAAAGACTATTTAAGATAAAGGGCAAAATTTTGCTTTGGAAACCACAGAACCGTTAATTTGGTGTTCAATTATTCCCAGACTTTAAAATTTTAAACTTTCTGGTAATTGAACTTTCAATAGCATTAAAACTTCAAGTTTTGCCGCTCAGTTTTTTAACTTATTCTCTTCTATATTTAATACAGCTTACTTCACCCAAATTTATATACACATTGATAGAGTTAAAAGAGGCAATATTATATGCCAATTACCTGTACACCCATTAAGCATGAGAGCAGATTTTTGGGCAAATAAGTGTTTGGAAAAAAAACCAAGTGTATTCAATTGCTAAAGAATGACATGCGGAACAGTTTTTGAGGAAATGAAAAAAAAAATTACGAAAGAAAAGAGTAAATAAAAAAAAAAGAAAACCTACAGTTCGTGTCGAAAAACCAAGCGTAAGCAGATAAATGATGATGAAGTAGTCCATGAAGACTTATCCTTCAATTTTTTTTTTTTTTTTTTTTTTGTAGGACTGTCTTTGTCGTTAGTGTATTCGTTATAAAGTTCTATACAAGCAGTTCTCTTATTACTGCCAGAGATGAAACAGTAGTATTATTAATAGGAGTAATAACAACAATAATAGTGGTAATAATAATACAACAATAATAATATTAACAATAATGTTAACTATAAAAGCAAAAACCACAATGCATTTTGTGGGACATCGCTTTACTGAGCCAAGCAACCTAGTTTTTTCGCATTTTTTCAGTGTGGGGCGTGTTCAAAATGGCAAACATTACCAGCCTCAACAAAAAACTTCTAATTTGGGACTAAAATATTTTTTTTTTAAGTGAAAAAAATTGGTTGATAGAAATGATTGGTTGTGATTAACGTACCAAATAAGTGCTGACAGGAAGTATGAGGTTGGTCTTAATGATATTGCTGTAGTTGGTGGGTAGGTGGACCGGCAAGTCAACCAGCCAGAGTGCCTCTTACGTCCGTCTGTTCCTACTTATCTGTCGACGTTATTGCAACTCTCTTTGTCATCATCTTTGTGTCGGTATCGCCGCTCTCCGCTTGTCTTCCACAATAATGCAGCAGATGACAGCAACTAGTGAACACAGTGAGTGTTGTTGCTGTTCTTTCAGCTATTCAAAACCGATATATATTACATACAATGGTGACTATGATTTTAGTACCGATGACCCAGGCATTTGAAATGGTAGGGTTAATTAACTGTAGCTTTCCTGTTATTGAATGGAAAAGTTAAAAATTGATAAATTTTCTTTGGAGGCTGCACTCAATGCAGTCAACACTTTTTGATGGTCTATCTCGTAAAAATTATATGCCGGAAAGGTTATCCACTGAAAAATTTTTGGTGCGGAAGACAGCAGTTTATTCAAATTTTGATTCATTTAGAAAGAATATTGAAAAATCCTGATCTTGCTTTGCTTTTTTTTTCTTAATTTTTTCTTTTTTTTATTGCATATTTTATTGTTGCATTATGAGAAGGAAATAAGAGTTTCAGTTTTTCTGTAATTGTGAAGCTGTCTACAATTTATGTAAACTTCTAAGCGCATTAGGATTATAAAAGTGTCAATGATTGACGTATTCACGAAGTGTCAGAATAAAATATAAGTGGAAATGAAAGAATTGCACCTTTAACTTGTGAAGGAAAAACCGAAAAATATTTAAAGTTTTGAAAAGAAATTCGAAAATGTTGAGGTAAAATTTCTAAGGACACGTGTAAACGTTGAGCAGGTTCGATGACTAGTCGTTTGGCAGAGGTGGTCGAACAAAAAAGGTATTCTACAAAGTATTGAGTATTCTCCATTTTCTCGCGTTTCTTTCGTCGCTCTCCGTGCTTATTTACTTCAGGAATATTTGATTTTTGCAAAAATCTTTGAAGTTTGCGTTGCTTTAATTTCTGCTTTTACTGCATTTAATGATCAACATTTAGAAATTTTATTCCTAAAAAATATGTACATTTATTAGGTAAAAAAAGGAATATATTTCTCAAGTCGACAGGAAATGTTTTAAAAAAAGTAAAGGGAAAAATAGTGAGTTAATCTTCTAGGGAAACTGTATTAAATAAGTTTTTCTCGTCAGTGTTAAAAGCATGGCATACTTTTATGTCAGTAATGGTGTAGTTCCTGAATTACTATCTTCTGCAGCAGTTCGTTCAAGCGTCAGTCTGTAGTATGATCGATTAGTAAACAGCTTTTTGTTAGCTACAAAAAGAATTCCTTATTGATTTTTTACAACAAACGAACTTGTAAAAGCATCAAATGAAACAAAGTTTTTTTTCTAGAAAATTTCAAAATAAATTGGTACTTCTTTTTGCCCTTCGTATTTGCTTTCTTAAATAGTTGAAGCCACAATAACGTATCATTTATAAGGAAATGTACAAAAGAGAAAAAACATTAATTTTACTGACGATATCACAGATGATTTACAACAATAGTATGGATGATTGAAATTAGAAAAACAAGTAGATGACGTACCATCGCTTTCTGTAATATGCAGGAAAAGATTTCGTTAGTTTTATCAAAGTTATTACACCACTATCATTAATAGTGACGATAAGATTAAGTGAAGAAATTTTTTCCAAATTTTTTTTTTAAGAACTATTTACAAAACTGTTTGTTGTTCATTTGGGAACAGTTCGCATGAGGTTTTCAAAACGTCCTTGATCCTTACCACTATCCCTTTAAAAGTCGTCAAGAGGATTTTTTTAGGAGGAAAATCAGTTTTTAAATGAATAATTGAATTGTCATATGTTCATACAAATTGGTCATCAACAGTACTGAAACCGATTGCCACTAATTTATATTTGTTAGTTTCTTTTGGCTGACCGCCAGTATTTACTCTCTGTAATCACTTCAGTACCCAAACTGTTCATTGGTATTGATTTATGAGCCTTAATTTACAGGAGTCTCGGCATTTAGTTGCAAAATTCAAATTAGCATATAAGCGCGAATAGCGAGGACTGCTTTTGATTTTTGGTAAGTTTTGAACCACTTTTTCATTTCTTTTTTATATATAAAGAATTTTAATTTTTATAATATGCGGTAAATTTTTCTACAAAACAGTGTTTTCTCTTTTTCAAATATTTTTCAACAAGATCTTTTTGTTATAGAATTATGTCTATTCGTTGATGGTTGACTTGATTTGAAACGGTTCATTGTATTTGATGTCATGTTTTCAATGGAATCCAGTTTTCCTGTTAACAGAAAATTATTTGTTTATTCATTTTTTTCTAGGTAATGTGGAGTCCTGTAGTTGTGCTACTTTTGATTTATACCGTATTACTTGGCACATCATGGTGCAAAGTGGACTCTCAGTTCGACAAGCATGTTAACCGTGAAGAAACCGGTAAAGTACATCAGCGTCCGGTAGACGACAACCAGAAGCACAATGGGCTAGATAGTGAAAGTGGTGTTAAAACTTGTAAGTTACCAGTTCTTTGCCCTTTTTATTATTATTATTTCCACGGAAAAATGGTGTTATTATTTGGATAACATTTTGTAAACGGC